TGAGGAACCTCCATACTGTTCTCCATAGTGGCTACACCAGTCTACATTCCCACCAGCAGTGCACAAGTGTTCCTTTTTGTCAACATCCTTGACAGCACTTTTTGTTTGTTGATTTGTTGATGATAGCCATTCTGACAGGTGTGAGATGGTACCGCATTGTTGTTTTGATTTGCATCTCTCAGATGATTAGTGACTGAGCATGTTTTCATATGTCTCTTTGCCTTCCTTATGTCTTCTTTCAAAAAGTATCTATTTAGGTCCATTGCCCATTTTTTGATTGGGTTGTTTATCTTCTTTTTGTTAATTGGTATGATTTCCCATAAATGTTATTTAAATTTCAAAAAGGGATTGAAAGTATCATTCAGAAATAGTAAGGAGCATTCCATGAATAAGCACACTAGCTCATTTATTCTTTACAATCTTGCCAGATAAGAATTATTATCCCTACTATGTTAAAGAATTAAAATTGAGGCTCAAGGTGGTTAAAAATTTCCCTGATACATTCAACTACTTGGTAGGAGTGCCAGAATTCATAATTAGGCGTGTGCAACTCTAAGTCCATGATTATTCTACTATATCTTGCTGTGTGCAAACAGGTGTGCTTTTAAAATTGCTTATGAACTATGCACAGACAGATGGCACCTGTGAGCATATATCTGACAATAATATTCTGATATTTTCAAATACTCAAATGTATTTAGCACAGAGAAAGAGCTTAGAAATTTGAAATGTAATATTTGTACCTAGTAAATACCTTATAAAACAGTCTTCTTCATCACTCTATGTGAGAAAAATTTAGCCAATTTGCTATCTAGAAAATTTCAAAGTCAAGAATTGACATGTTTCTTAAATTCCTTTCTAGAGCTTTCCATATTATATCAAGGAGAAAAAATTAGCTATCATGTTTACAGTGTTTTCTTTCCCAACCTAGAAGGCAAAAATGCTAATTCTCCATAATCAACATAAAGAAAATATTCAGAACTATTGAATATTTTTATCACCTCTCATTACATTAGAAAAAGCTTTTTTATTGAATTTATTGGGTTTCATTGGATAATGAAATTATATAGGGAGCTTTTAAAAAGGTGGTAATAGCTGTCAGAGGGGAGAGGGGTTGGGGATATGGGTGAAATAGGTGAAGGGATTAAGTGAAAAACAAAACAAAACAAAAAAAATCTCATAGACACAGACAGCAGTATGCATGAAGGGGTTAAGTGAAAAACAAAACAAAACAAAAAATATCTCATAGACACAGACAGCAGTATGGCGATTATCAGAGGGAGGAGGGGTGGGGGAAGATGGAGGAATGTAAAGCAGGGACAAAGAGTGATGGAAGGAGATATACATTGAAGAAGTGATTACATTTAGTTATAAAACTTTGTGCATATATTTTATGAAGATTATCATGTTCTTAGCACAATTAAGAAAATCATATACAATACCGCTAAGTCTCATGGTCTTCTTTCAAAGCCTATAATTAATAAAATGACTAGAAAAGGCTTGTTTCATTATAAAAGTATTATTTAAAATGTTTTATCCAGATAAATGGAAATTAAAGGTTTCTAGTACTGTTAGTTTGTTTTGAAGATACATCTGTATTACCAAGACTATGTATAAGCACTAGCAATTGTTGCAGAAGTTGTATAAAACTCATTCTACTTTACACACCTTGAAGAATAATACAATCTTTCCTTTGTGTCATACA